TAGGTGGCGATGTGGAGAGAAGAGCTGTTTTCAAAAACAAAGCAGGGTTTTGCCATGTTCCCCACAGCGCCCCCTATGCCCACCAGGCCTGCTTCTCTCCCCAGCACTGCTCCGTGACCAACTGCAAGGCCCTTCTCTCTCTGAACCTCAGTTTGCTCGTCTGAAAAATGGGATAATGGGTCAATTCCGTAGGGATGAGTTAATGGGATACTCTTTGTTAAAACATAAAATGCATAGTGCCTGGTGTATCAATGCTCATTTGATGGCCATGATGACAATGATATTAAGACCCACGCTCACTATTGAAGTCCCCAGAACAACCACTTTGTACGAGCCAATGTCCTAACCATTCATAGCTACACCACCTCCCGGTTTCCACTTCCCAAGGCGGCAGCACCCGCGGTGACCTAGGGAAGCACACACATCCCTGTGGCATGAGAAGCCTAAAGATGAGGGCGGGGACCCACAGACACTCCTCTCCTCCCTCCCCTGGCCTGGAGTGAGGCTGGGCCTGCACAGCTGTGCCTGATCTTGGGGTCCACTGATGACCCTGATCTTGTTCCAGTAACACTGGACAGCTTCCAACACCTCAGCCAGACCAAAGCCCACCCAAAGACCTTAGAGCATCTCTTCTTAAACTTTGCTCTCTTCTCAAAGAAATGCACCAGGACACTAAATATCTTCCACGATTTTCGGAGTTTTCGGATCCTCTGAAGCCATCCTGGACCACAAGAATCACTGATTCAGCTCAACTACCGCTTTAAAAAAAAAAAATACTATCTTTGTTGAGGTATAATTCACAAGCCCAAGTTCAGACTTTTCTGTGGGTGATTCAGCTGTTTTTAGTACAGGCAGAGACGTGCATCCATCACCACCACCTAATTCATCACCCGAAAACCAGATTCCCCTTCCCCACCAGCAGCCGGCCCTGCCTTCCCTTCCCTTGGCCCCTGGCCACCACCAATCCACCTGCTGCTTCTGTGGACTTTCCTGTTCTGAATAGTTCTTATAAGTGTAATCATAGAATTTGTGGCCTTTTAGGTCTTAGCACAAGGTCACAGGTTCATCTAGGTTGTGTCATGTATTGATACTTTGTTCCTTTTCATGGCAGAATACTATTCCCTCATGAATACACCACATTTCCCTTACTCTCTCCTCAGTTGATGGATCTTTGGCCATTCGACTGCCCCAACTTATAGATGGGGAAACTGAGGGCCAAAGTCACCATAACCTGGCTGGGAAAGGAGTCTGGGTCTCTCCTAACATCCACCATTTTCCCACAGTATCGCTTTGGAAGAACCCAGAGAACAGAGTTCAAGCTTATCAAAAGATCACCAAACAGCTACAGCAGCCCTGGAGCCAGTCTCCAGGGTTTATCATCTGGTGCATAAATGCCATACCACAGCTTTCTCCTTGAAGAGAAGAATCCTGCCGCCCTTGCCTGTACCCCACTGAAATCGAGTCTCAAGCTTAGAAATCGGTCAATCAGTTAAAACCCAAGTAGGAGCATGTCTCTGTTGTGCTCACAGCCCTCCAACTCAGACTAAAAAAACCCAGAGCCTTTACCATGGCCTTCACAGACTCACCTGATCCGGTGCCAGCTTCCTGTCTGACTTTATTGCACAAGATCCCTTCCTTGAACAGATGAAGCATTCTCCTGCCTCAGGACCTTAGCACTGGCTGTTCCTTTGAACTGCATTCTCCTCCTTCAGTCACGTTTCATTTTCTTTACGAAATAAACAACTGCCAAAGATGGCTTTCCTGACAATTTTATGTAAAATCACACCTCTTGGAAACCTCTTATGCTTTCTTTCCTAAATGTGCTTTGTCTTCCTAGCACTAACCACCACCTGATTATTTGCTAACTTGTTTATGTTCTGTCTCCTTCCCTAGAACTTGAGCTCCACAGAGCAAGGATTGATTCTTGTCCAGGTCATTTACCCCTGCATTTTTGTGCTGGCCAGCACATAGTAGGTGTTCAGTAGATTCTTAGGGAATGAATGATTCAAGCCTTGTAGTGAATAAACAGTATTCTCACCAAACCCTCTAGTGCCCATTACGATATTAATCTTTCAATAACAATGGCAACTCATTTTTCTGGAAGTTTCCTAGGGGTCAGGGCCTTAGGAATATTATCTTCTTATACAGGCCACTACCTCTAGTCCTGAACCCCCAGAGGGGCAAATTGATGAGCTCAGAGAAGTCAGGCAACTTGCCCAGGATGGCTGAGAAGAGGCACCCAGGCATCTGGCCTGACCGCAGAGCCGAGTTCTTAAACCTCTGAGCAGTGATTTGTCACGCTCTGGAGAAATGGAAGCCGCTGGGCAAGCTCTGGGCGCCCAGCGATGATGCCGCCGCTTTCCACGTGCCAGGGTCCCGCCCTGCTGCTCTTTGATCTTTGCAGTGCCGGAGGCCCCCGCTGACCCCGCTGTGAGTTATGGGGGCCGTGGGACCCATAATCCGGCATTCCCACACTCCCAGGGTCGTCAGGACTTGGCGCCCCGCGCGGTGATAGATGAGCAGGCTCCAAGCCCTGGCTTTGTCCCGATTGATTGGGCCGAACTGAGGCGCTTCAGGAAGGCTTTGGACGAGGCGTGGCGAGAGGCGGACCGCGTGTGTTTGTGCGTGTGTGTGTGTGTGTGTGTGTGTGTGTGTGTGTGTGTGTGCGCGCGTGTGTGTGTGTGTGTGTGTGTGTGTGTGTGTGTGTGTGAGCGTATTTCTTCCTTCCCTGCTGGGGCGGGAGCGGGTGCCGCAGGTGCGCCGTCAGCTCCCCAGGTGAG